ACAAACCAATTTAAAAATGGACAAAGAACCTAAAAAGACACTTCTCCAAAGTTGACATACAGGAGGCCAAGAGACAAATAAAAAACTGTTCAAAGTTACTAATCATCAGAGAGATGCCAACGTAAATGACAATGAGGTATCATCTCACACCAATCAGAATGACTACCATCAACAAACCAACAAATGACAAGTGCTGGCAAGGATTTGGAGAAAAGGGAACCCTAGTAACTGCTGGTGGGAATGCAGATTGGTGCAGCCACTGTGGAAAATAGTATGGCATTTCCTCAAAAAGTTAAAAATTGCACTTCTATTTGACCCAGTGATCCCACTTCTAGGAATATTTCTAGGAATATATCCTTCGAAACCCAAAACACGCTTCAGAAAGAATGTATGCATATAGCAGTGCAATATACAATAGCTAGGATGTGGAAACAGCTCAAGTGCCCATCAGTAGATGAGTGGATTTAAAAGGCATGGTATATTCACACCATGGAATACTATGCAGCAGTATAAAAGAAGGAGTTCTTACACTTTGAGACAGCATGGAAGAGCTGGAGAGTATTGTGTTAATCATATAAGCCAGTGAGAAAGATAAGTATCCTATGATCTCACTTATATGTGGAATCAAATGAATAAAATTAAATGATGAACAAAACAGACCCATAATATAGAAGCATAGAATAGACTGATGAATCTCAGAGGGAAGGCTGGGTTAGGAGGGTGGGGAAGGAGAGATTAACTGAGAAATTTATATGCATATATGCATAGCCCATGGGCACAGACAATAAATAGTCTGGTGAAGGCCTGGAAGTGGGGGTAGGGTGGTGGGAGTCAATGGGGGAGTGGAATAGGGGGACACCTGTAATACTTTCAACAATGAAAATGCATTAGAAAATAAAAAGAGTTTGGATCTCTGCCCATCACTCCCACTGAACAGTGTCAAAGGAAAATACAGAGGGATCACTTCGTTAACGCAGAGCTCACATCACTGACAAACTTTCCGAAGGTCCAGGGGCAAGTTGATGAGAAATAGAAAGAGTTTGTTGCTCCAGTGAGAGCCAGTTCCGGAGAATCTGGTATTTTTCATGAGGAAAGCTCAGAAGAAAGGAATCTTATATCCTGGGAAAGCCAAATTCAACCTCAGGAGCAGGTGGAGGATGAGGAAATTAAGGAGGATAACCTTTGCCTTTCTCATGAGAGTCTTCTGTTAGGCAATATGAAGCTGATAGTATGGATATAAATGAGCTATTTAAGGATTTGTGAATGATAATTCATGAGCAAGGAGATGTGATAGATAGCATAGAAGGCATAGTTGAAAGTGCAAGAGTGCATGTCCAACAAGCCAACCGGCTAGGGCAGCAGAATATCAGAAAAAGGATTCCTGCATGTTGCTGTGTGATGCCATTAAAGAAGTGTAGAAACCTACAAGATGAAGAATGGGAACAAAACTCTTAACCTTTTTATTTTAAGTGATTACATTATAATTATTTTTATTTCAGTTTTAATTTGTATGTTGAGATTTTGGATGCAGTTTCTGATAATAATAAACAAAAAGAATAATTTTTGAGCAACTTTAAAAAAGATTTGTCAGTTACAATTGATATCCAATATTGTTTTGGTTTCAGGTGTACAGCATGGTGATTGGGCACATGTATACCTTTTGAAGTGAACACCCCAATGGGTCTGGTACCCATCTGACACCATGCATGGTTATTAGAATATTGTTGACTATATTCTCTATCTATGCTGTACTTTGCATCACCATGATTTTATTTACAACTGAATTTAAAGAACACCTTTTGGATAAAAGTTTCAAAACCTTTTTTTGGTCACATGGAAACATTTTTAATTTCTTCCCCATCCCATACCATATGTAAAATCCAATTGTAGATGAATTAAAAATTAAAATGCAAGAAACACAATTTAGAAAGGTTTAGATAAAATACAAATATATTTAGTAAAGTATTTTTAATAGAAAATCATGAGTCATAAAGAAACATTAATAAATTTGACTAGTTAAAATTTTAAATATCTATTCTTAAAAGTATCAGGAAGGAAGTAAAAAGGAAATATCATAAACTTGAAAAAGATATTTGCAATAAACAGAATCAATAAAAAGAACAGAATACAGAATGTGTTTTAAAAACACCAACAGTCAATAAGGAAAAGACAAAACCTATCTAATAATAGACAAACATGGTAATTAACCATAACTTCGCTACCCTTCCCATTGGCTAATCAGGGCGATATGCAAATTAACTTCCAACAAAGATGGCGGTTAACCGCCAACAAAGATGGTGGTTAGTTTGCATACATAGGTGCAATGATGGGAGGCCATAGGGGAAGGACGGTGATTGGAAACACAGGCAGCAGGCAAGAGCCGGGAGGCACTGCCCCTGGCCCTGGATTGGCGAACTGGCCGCCTTTGCCAGCCCCCCTGTCAGTGATCAGAGAAGCTGGATGAGCAACTGGAGATCCCACAGCACGAAAGGGCAGCCTGCAGCCAGTCCCCCTGTGCACCTGCCTGCCCATGGGATAGCCCATGCGATCCCACAGCAGGAAAGGGGGGCCTGCAGCCAGCCTCCATGTGTGCCTGCCTGTGGGATTGCCGTGGGGATCACAGAGCAGGAAAGGGTGGCCTGCAGCCAGCCCCTGTGTGTGCTTGCCCCTGGATCACCGCTGCAATCCCCCAGCAGGAAAGAGCGGCCTCTAGCCAGCCCCAGTGTGCGCCTGCCCCTGGGTCTCCATGGCAATCACGGAGCAGGAAAGGGCAGCCTATAGCCTGCCCCTGTGTGCGCTTGCCCCTGGGTCACCACAGAGATCCCACAGCAGGAAAGGGGGGCCTGCAGCCAGCCTCCGTGTGCGCCTGCCCATGGGATCGCCGCAGCCATCACAGAGCAGGAAAGGGCTGCCTGCAGCCAGCCCCCCTGTGTGCCTGCCCCTGGGTCGCCCTGGTGATCCCACAGCAGGAAAGGGCGCCCCATCCTGGCCACAGCTCAAGGGAGAGTACAACATGCAGTGGAGGCCAGGAGCCTGAGAGATCAACAGAGAGGGGCGCCTGCTCCAAGCCTCCAGGGTGTGGCTGGGGGCAGGCCCCCAGCAGACACACACACACACACACACACACACACACACACACACACATACGGGGATGCCTGCACAGAGCCTCTGCTGCCAGACTGTGGCCATCAGTAGGACATCCACTGAGGGCTCCCAGACTGAGGGGCAGGCTTGGCTGAGGGAACCCCATCCCCCAGTGCATGAATTTCATGCACCGGGCCTCTAGTAACAAATAATTATAAAAAGTCATGAACAGGTATTTCATGGATGGGAATTGCAAATCCTATCTAATAAAGATGGAATATGCTCATTGACCATCACACCCTCACAAGATGGAGGTGCCACTGACAATAAAGAGGGAATATGCTAATTGACTTCCTTGCCCTCACAAACATGGCAGCTCCCAGTGCCCTCAGCCCTGCCACATCCAGCTGGAGTCCCCCATGTCCCTCAGCCCTGCCTCATCCAGCCTCAGTCCCCCAGTCCCCCCAGCCCCGCAGGGGAGGGCAGTTGGGGAGAATCATGCTGGCAGGGGAGCAGTTAGGCATCAATCAGGCTGGCAGGGGAGCGTTTAGGGGGTAATCAGGCTGGCAGGCAGAGTGGTTAGGGGCAATCAGGCAGGCAGGCAGGCAAATTTTTAGGAGCCGGATTGTGAGAGGGATGTCCGACTGCTAGTATAGGCCCTGTGGTATCGGGCCTAAACCAGCAGTCGGACATAACCCTGAGAGGTCCCAGATTGGAGAGGGTGCAGGATGGACAGAGGGACACCCCCGCATGCACGAATTTCAAGTACCAGACCTCTAGTGCTTATTATAAAAATGTATAAACTTTTAAGTTGTTCTTCATTTCCATACAGAGGTAACCATTTTGTACCATTAAAAAAAGAATTACATTTTTCAATTAACTCACTGGCCTATTTAATCAATATTACCTTAATGCACTAATCTGAATACTCTGAAGATAATTATCTTAATTCATAATTTGCATTTTATCACATTCTTACATAGCAGTTTGAAACTGAAGGCAATGTTTTATATGTCAAGCTATGAGATTTCAAATGGGAACAAATATAATATTGAGTAACTAAGTAAATTGTAATTTGCAACTAAAATAATGATGATTTTAAAAATGGAAAACAAAAACAAATAAATTTAATTAATTTATAGTTCAATTTGCAATATGTTGTTACACAATGGACACATTAGGAAAATGTATTAGCACAATTAAGTGAAGAGGACAAATGGACAAAAATACCAATTTCACAGCTCTGAAATTTGATTGAAAACAAATAATAATTTATAATTATTAATTATTGGGAAAGCTACTAGAGATTCAGGTAAAAATAGAGCAAATTTGTGGTCTTTTTATCTAAGACTGCTCCCGTGTCTCCCCTACCCCCCCAACTCAGCTCAGTGAGTAAGAATTGTAATTTTTATAATTTGGGGAAGGCCGCATATATCAATGGCATTACTGCCACAGGGGAAGACTTGATAAGTAGTGGAAAGGGTTGTTAAGTTGCCCACTACTAGTATTTATCAGCTCGAAGTGCTGAATTTACTGGGTAATAAATGAAGGTAATTATCCTTTTCCTAGACCCAGGCTGTGTTCTCCATTGTGTCACGCACAGTGCCAGCCATAAACATAACAGGAAGGTACTACTAGTAAAAGTAAGAGTGCAATAGAAGAGATCACATTAGCTTTCTGCATGTGCTTGACTGACGGGTGGAAAATTTGCACATGTGTGGAAGAAACAAAGATGATACAGTAAAAAATAAAAGCCAAAGTGGACTTGAGAATTGATTTCAAAATCATGAGCACTTCCCTACACACACACACACACACACACACACACACACACACACACGAGTACATCAAATAGCAGAGGGTGAAAGCCATACTGATTTGAATACACTTTTAAAAATCATTGGTTGTCTGCTAAGCTACGCATACACAAGGCTAATATCTGGTAAGTAAGGCTAAATAGAAAAATAAATAATGAGAATTATAAAAACTGAGTAAGCACACTTCAAAGAAGATTCTACACTAAAAGTTTATCAAAGTTAAAAAAAACTAAGAAAGATGCAGAATCCATATTTAGTATATTATATTATCAAAAATATGTACTTACCAAAAATTAGAAAATATGCAAAGAAATTTAAAAATGCCTTTTACACTTGGTGGGGGATCAGTCAATAGAATCTAATTTTCACTGGGATAAAATGTCAGATTTATTAGAAAATATTTTAAAGTAGTTATTATAAACATATTTTAGAAAAATATTGTGTTTAAATAACTATATGAAAATATGATGGCAGCCTGGCCAGTGTGGCTCAGTTGGTTGTAGCATCATCCCATGTACTAGATGGTTGTGGGTTCAGTTCCCAGTCAGGGCACATACCTCAGTTGTGGGTTTAAACCCCAGATGGGGCACAAATAGGAGGCAACTAATGGATGTATCTCTCATATAACATAGCAGATTGTCTTCACAAACTTTGACTAACTTCTAAAATAATCACTAACACCCAAAATGAGATATTGGACTAAGTTAACATTAATAAATTCAGGTCATTTAAAGACCCCAATATGAGACTGAAACTGTAAGTAACAGTCAAAAACACCATTTGCACTTACAAATTTAAGAAAGAGCTCATATAGGAAATATAACAACTTCTAGGGAAGGAAATAACAGGCAGCACACAGGAGAAATGGTAGAGAGACATGAACAGGCGCTTATTCTCTCGATACATAATTCCATAAGAACTAGTGCCCAGAAAGATGGGTTCTATCCATTAGTAATCACAAAAATGCCTATTTATGTCAAAATGCTACTTTTATATAATGATCAGAATGTATAGCATTGAACGTTCTGGCAGTACTAAATCTTGGATCATGGACTTTTTGGATAAAATGTGTATTTACGTAATAAACTAGAAAATGTTGGGATAATATAATAAATTTGGCATATACATATATTTATGACTCTGTAATTTCATTCTGATTCATAGAGAACAATAAATTTTAACTATCTACATATGCGATTATAATCATATAATTGTACTAGAGGCCCGATGCACGAAATTTTTCCAAGGGTCTCGGCCCTCACAGCCACGGCAGCTGCCGCAGCCCTCGCAGCCCCGTCTTCGTCTGGATGGTCATCCGGAAGGTCATTCAGCTGTCCAGTCTAAGTAGCATATTATGCTTTTATTATTATAGATTTATACATTATTATTATATTATCATAAATATAATATTTATAGTATATGAATACAATGTATTATATTTAATATTTATATATGATGTAAATTTTTTTAAATACAATAAAATATTTGAAAAAAACAGACACAAGGATTTTCACAAAATTATTATTCATAATTACATATTAAAAAACAACTATATTCTGGGTAAAACAGATTTAAAATGCCATGTCCCTATAATAAAGCAGTGAAAATTAACAAATCACAGATAAATGCAATAATATGGAGAGATTGCAAAATATCATGTGAGTGTTAGAGGAGACACACAGGAGAGGGGTTACTGCGGACTGGCAACTTCTATTTCATGATTTGTAATTATATGGGTCATTTAAGTTTGTAATTAATCTGCAAAATCATGATACCTTCAGTTTCCTTGATGTGTAGTAAAATTAAGTAGCAGAGTTTACTTTAGAAAAAAAGCATTTACAGAAGCATGGTTATCTATAAAAAAAGCAAGAACTGGAAATTATCAAATGTGCATGAATGGCATAAAATATAAACAAAATATTAGAGAGTCAAACAAGGCATGTTAATAGTCTTTAAAATAAGTAAACTATGAATATATACAAAATAGGAATCAATTCTATAAATATAGACTAAAATAGACTTTTAAATAAAATGGAAACATTTAAATCTTACCATTTCTTCTTCATTATCTATGTAAAGCAGGTTAGAGTTCTTAGAAGCACAGGCCAGCACACTCTCATTCCATGCTTTTTTTTCAGTACTAATGTAATAGCAGTTGTTGGAATATGTAAACCACTCCTTTGGACAATGTCCACAATGATATTCTGGAGAAAGATTATAAAATTTTATCAAAAACAATTTAAATTTTTTAAAATTAATTTACATATTTGCATAGGTATAGACACATTTGTGCAATATATAAAAAGAAAACACACTCACAGAGAAGGGTTAGTCTCTTGTTTCCTTTTTTATGTACCATATAAGCAATAAAACAAAAATATCCACTCTCTACATGTCCTGAATGTCAATGAAGAAACCCACCTTTTTAGAATCCTAAAATTATCTTTGAGCCCATCTACAACAATGGGTATTATGATCTTAAATGAATATTGCTTCATATTGTTACATAAGAAAACACTCTTCTATAATCATTATGAACATTTATTGCCTGGTATTATAATTTATGTCTCCATTCCCAAAAAGCTATTATTTTTGACTCCCCTACATTAGAGATAAAGTATGAACTATACTAATATCAGAACTTTGAAAATAATTATTTACCTTCCTGGATCCCGGTTTTCAATGAAGAATTATTCTGCTCCAGTATTACATTAGCTGAAAAAAAAAAGTAATTCTTAAATTAATCTTGATCTAATTACATCATAATACTTTTGTGTCTTATGTTTAATTGTGTTGTATTGTCTAGGATTAGAATTATCTGGAATAAAATTTAATTACCAAAGAAAATTAATGTAGTAATGATAATTATGAGGAAAAGTGTTTTTAAAGTCTAGAGAACTACATCTCATAGTATTTGGATTAAACAATCTCAAAAATTAATTTATATTTCTCAATAAGGTGTCCTAAAGCATACTTTGAGAATATAAAATACATACTTATACTATGATTATATATATATGGATATATGAATATATATCTCTATATATGGATATATGTGGTCATATATGTGTACATATATTTATAACCTACTCCCTAAAATCATCTTGATATTTATACCTTGGACAAATTCAGAATTACCATTTTGCAATTAGTCTACATGCATACTTTAGGATAAGAGTTCTATTTCATAACATTATGAAGTGTTCAGAGGCACTGATGGACATAAAAGTGAAAAATTCTGTATAACCTTACAAAAATGTATTTACAGGGAATAATAGGTATCGTCACCACAGCGGACATCAGGACAAGGCAGATGACCCCTAGGGTCCCAGCAATGAGCTTCTCTGGAGGTGATGGTGAAACTGCAGGAAGAGAAAAGGATACACTGAGAAAGGAGAGAGAAAGAATTGTTTAGACGGTTTACATACAGAGAATCAAACACATAAACTTGGACACCAAGCCCATACCTACCACTGTAATCTTCCTCTCAGAATATACCATTGCATGTTTAGGAAATATAATGCTCCATGAGTAACTGGTCAAAGGCTACCCCTTACAACAATACCTGAATAGAATTAGCCCTCAGCTTTCATCTTAGAATACTGTGTTCCAACTTTAAGCGCTGATTCACACAAATGAAAAATATGTGAGCTAATGCAGTACTTTCCCCACATCTCTGCACCCCAGCTTCACATACTAGAACAGTTATACTGTGTGTCTATTGAATGTGTTACCTTTGGAGTGGTCCTTCTTGTCCCTCTCTTGAAGATCCTGGGAAGCATTTTGAAGAGCTAATTCTGCATAGGTTATTTCCTGCTCAGTTACTGGAATGGAGCTTTGAGTGCCCTTAGGCTTCCTTTGCTGTCTCTTGGCTGACTTGGCCAAATTCAGTTCTGCATAGGTTACTCTTTGGTTATTCATCTCTGCAGCTGGGTGGTGTTTGAGACTATGCTCTAAGTCAAGTGTACTTACGAATAAATGACCTATGCAATAATGCGATCTCTAGGACAGGAAAACTGGGCGGGGTAAAGGGTAGTAGGGCTCATTTCCAAGTTGAAAATCTAAAGTTCTGGTTTTAAATTTGTTAGATCTTTAAACAGGTGCTTCATAGTAGATGTAATTTTTATGATATTCTACATTTGACAATATATTATTTGTTTGAGACATAGAAAGCAATAAATTAGTGAGGAATCAAGAATAGCATAAATAATGACATTGTCATTAATTTAAAGTCAGATTCCATGAAAATATTTAACATTATCAGAATGCGTGTATTAAAATTAAAATGTTGTATTAGAAAAGAGTCTCCAATATTTATGAAAAATTTGAAATCAAATAATGATTGATTATTGAGTGCTCCAAAGATTGGGCATCAGTTGTGTTGGCATATATGGTAACTTTCTGAAGTAAATTAATTTTATTTAGTAGCATATATTTATTTATTATGCTGTAACATAATTCATTAAACAAGAGTCTCTTTGTCAGTGTGGTGCCGTTTCTCGCAAAGTTTGTTTAATTTTTTAAATATCTTTTGATTGTTTATAATTAAGCTTAAATTTTCATTTTATGGGAGATACTTCATACCGATTTTTATTAAAAGCCAACTGCTCTCATTTAATTTAAATAAGTGTATATTTAGATTACCGCTGTAATTCAGAGAATTCATTTTAACAATCTCTTTTTAAAGGCTTGGCTAAACATAAATTATACCTATATTGATTATAAAATAAAATAAAAATAGCTCTTGTGGTGATTCTTGCTGGATTCTACTTCAAATTATTTTTGCTTAACACATCAATTATGCATGTGTGCAGGCACTTGACCCCTTCTCTACAGGCAAGAATTTGAATCGTTGGATATCCTCCAACATAGTTCATATTTTATTCTCATTTTTTGCCCCAAATTATTTATATAAAGATACCAATGTTCTCTTTTACTTGATTCTATCTTACTTGTACCTCCCTGGCATCACATCTAGCATTTGTAATCTCCCACTACATGAGAAGGGCTAACAGACAGACAGGAGAATAGAGGCACATACCTTCTGTATCCTTCACTGGGAGGCCAGGTTCTCTAGTGAGCAAAGAATGTCTGTGGTCTTCACAGACTGCCTCGCGAAGGTTCACCGTGAATCATGAGTGGAAAAAGTAGATTTCTCATAAATATGTCACTTAAAGTTTGAACAGGAAATTCTTACACTTGGGCTATTTTGAAGATGGTTTACGTCATCAAACACCTCCAGAATATAGGATACTTTGGGCCGGTAAGTGCATGCTGTAGTATATCCCCATTGGCAATGCCTCTGAGAAGATGTTTTCTTATTCGAAAAGATATCAGAGGACAAAAGACTTCACCGCCCATGCTGTTAACTTACATCTTAATCACAAACACTGAACACTTAGGCCTTGTTAGGTGTATCTGAGATATTTAAATTCTACTCTTAGACAGGTTACTGAATCCTGGCATTACATACTTCTTTTCCTATACTCTCATTATGGAATTTCTATTATAATTGGAAAATTTCTAAAATCCTAATCCCATTAACTATAGTTATTTAATGACATTTGTCTCCAATGGTCTGAAGAATTTCTATGTTTTCACCTTTATGATAACTGTCACTACAATCATTAATTCTCACACTTACCTTCTCAATTTCTCTGCCCTAGTTCTTAAAAAATCCCTTCATTCATTTTATTATTCTTAAATGTTAGTTAGACTTCCCTTGGCCAAAATAATGTATCTGTGAAGGATAGAATATTATATAATGTTGAACTATATCACCATGACAGAGATTAAATTATTATATAGCTACTGATTATATTTTTGTTGGTTTATTTTCTATCCCAACCATCTCTATTTTAATTAGTATTAGTTGTAAATGACAAAGCCCAAGTCTAACTATGTAGGGGGAGAACAAAGGTAATTTTTAAAAAGTCCCTTATTTTAAAAAAATGGGAAGGGTAGAAAAAGAAGATTTTTAAAAAACAAGTTAAATGACACATAAGCATCAAAAGAAACAAAACTTTACAGCACGATGGTTTGATATACATGTATTGCAAAATGATTACCACAATAGGTTCAACTAACATCCATCTTCTCATACTGATGAAATAAGGAAATAAAGAGGATATAGTGTATTCACACTGTATATGCTACCCGCCTACGGATCACATAATAGCCGTCTAGGTTACCAGACAGACTGCTGTGGAATCTCAGTGCTTGTGTTCAAGCAACCCTTATTTTACAAAACTTATGGCCTAAGATCATCCCATGGAATGCAGCATTAAAGTCACCCATATGATCAGCGAAGGATTACAACCTTTGCAGCACACTTTGCACAACATGTTGATGAGTTGAAAAAAAAAAAAGACACAGCAACTTCCAGTAACTGTGTTCTTCCAAAACTATTCTGCAGTGATAGTTCCTCTGCTGGTCCGTGGTGACAACACCTTGCTGGGGCAGGAATCTGGGAAGTTAGACCCATCACTATCGCTTTGGGCCCTGTGGGCCCTCATCTGGCCTCAGTGCAATGGCAATGTTTCACCATTGATGAGGTGGATAGGATGAGGACCTGGAGACCTATTTCTACCCTGCCCTTGTGGTGATAACTTCTGCATCACCAAGAAAAATGTGGAGAATGGGGAAGACATAGTAACCTGTCCTAGCTGCTCTTATTATAAAAATGACTTATGGGCCTAACCGGGTTGCTCAGTTGGTTGGAGCATGTCCTATACACTAAAAGTTTGCAGGTTCCACAATCCCTGGTGGGGCACACTTGGGAGGACTGTTGCGTGGTGTGTGTGTGTATGTCTCTCTCTCTCTCTCCTCTCCTCTCTCTCTCTCTCTTTCTCTCTCTGTCTACCTCCCTCTCTAAAAAATCAATAAAAACATGAGTGGCCTTTTTGTTGTTGTTGCTGTTATTGTTGTCTGCCAGCAGCAAGGTTATGTGTGGCCATTAGCTGAGACACAAAATGAATTACCAAAAATGTGTGCTGGAAGTGCTTGGTACATTATAGGAAGCACTAGGGGCCCAGTGCACCAATTTGTGCACCTTGAAAGGAACTGTGGGCCCTGAGGCTGCAGTGGGCACTGGGGCGGGTCTTGGCCCATCCTCTGGCCCCCACCTGGCCCCTCCTGCTGTGGCCCCTGGTCCCCTGTCTACAGGCAGCTCCGCTCCCACCACCGTGTCTCCCATGGGCTGACAGCACTGAGCAATTGGGGCTGGCACCAGCAGTGGGTATGAGTGGGGCCGGCACTGTCAGCGGGTTGAGCCACAGCTGCTGCCCTTATGGGCTCTCAGGAGCAAGAGGAGGTGGAGTAGCCCTCGAGGGTGATCAGGACCAGTGCCGGGCACTGGCAGTGGGTGCAAGTGGGGCTGTCACTGGCAGCAGGTGCAAGAGGCAGCTGCCGGCCCTGATTGCCCCTCAGGAGCATGGGGAGGTGGAGATCATGGCCAACAGCCACCACTCACACCTCCTGACAGCGCTGAGGGTTCGGGGCCAGTGCCAGGTGCTGGCAGCAGATGCAAGTGGGGCTGGCACTAGGAGTAGGTGCGAGTGCCTGGCAGGACCATGACCCATGGGATCAAATAATTTTCAGTAACCACCAGAGGCTTGCCCCAATGACAGTGACTGGCACCCCACCTTGGCCTGGCACCCCGCTCACCTGCTCCAACTTCCTGCCTCAGCCAACACCTGCCATGTTCCGCACTCGGCTGCCTGCTGCCAATGCCCTCCATATTCCACACTTGCCCACTGGTGGTCAGCGCACGTCATAGTGACCGCTTGTTCAGTTGTTCCACTGTTCGGTCTATTTGCATATTAGGGTTTTATATATATACCAGTAGCCCAGTGCATGAAATTTTTGCAATGGGGTAGGGGGGCAGGAAAGGGGCCCCTCAGTCTAGCCTTCACCCTCTCCAATCTGAGACCCCTCAGGGAATGTCCAACTACCTGTTTGTGCCCACACTTTTAACAGATAACAGCTCCATTGTTGTTTCTTTCTTATGCTTAAAACCATTGGAATTAGTAGGTATTCAAAGTGTGTATACATTTTGGGGGGACACCCTGTATATCTCTAGTCAGCGGTGAAAGAAACCAACAGCAGATTTGGAACCCCCAGACAGGGAACCTCGCTCACTCCCCAC